CCAAAAGATTAAGACATAAGCGCAAGAGTTTTCAGAAGGAAGTTACTGTTTTGCTGAAAAATTCCAGTTAAATTTTTTGTTGAAACATACTATGTGCAAATGATTAAGTCATTCTCGGGCGGCAGAAGAAAGGCTGTGTCTCACTGATGTGTGCCCAGCACCCCTGTACCTGTTTGGATTTTCCCTGGACTGTGCAGACAAGCAGCTCAGTCTCACATCCTTCTGGCTCTTTGAGCACGCGTCTGTCACAGCACACACAAGTCAAAAATGTTGATTGGTGTCAGCTCATACCGCTCTATCAGTGAAACGTGTTGTGTCGAGATACATCAACATACCTGTTCTCATGCTCCCTTTGTTCTGAAGAGAGGGCTGCAATGCATCTGGGTACACATTGGCTAATTGATGCTTCATCAGTTTAAAAAAAAAAAAAAAAGCAGGGGGGGTAGAGCAAGAAGGGGGCTGTGGTGGAATGCTACTTAATTTTCCCTGAAGTTGAGAAACTGAAGATGAAGCAGTTAAAGCAAATTTGACAGCAATGGAAATTACTGCTCACAACAGCAAAAGAAAGGAATGTGCAAAAATGAGACAAAGTACTTTTATCTAGAATCATTTAAACAAATGTTGTGCTTTGTTAAACTGCCTTTTCAGCTCTGGAAACATTGTAAAGCAAGCAACAGCCAACGCTACCTGAAATACCAGAAAAACGCTGTGCACATGATGCACAGGCTACTCGGAGCTCCCATCTCTCTTCATGAGTTCAGAGGTACAAGGTGCCTCGCATGTGACAGCGAGCAAAAGGCCACGGCGTTTTCTGCAGTGTCCTGACAGAGCTTTTGGCCCTGAGTAGCAGATTTCACCAGCCCTTCTGAACTCTAATGACGTAGCTTTCAACATCTTGGGCAGAAAGCAGGTGTAATTTCTATTTGAGAGAAGCGCAAGCACGGTAGAGTCAAAAGCTTATGATTAGTGAAAATAATCATAAGTGAAATAATCCTAGTGAAGATAACGGTCAAAAGCTTATGATTTCCTTCCAGAACTTAAAGGGGGCCTACAGGAAAGCTGGAGAGGGACTTTTTACAAGGGCATGTAGTGATAGGACAAGGGGCAATGGCTTTAAACTGAAAGAGGGCAGATTTAGATTAGATATAAGGAAGAAATTTTTCACTCAGAGGTTGCTGAGGTACTGGAACAGGTTGCCCAGAGAAGTTGTAGCTGCCCCATCCCTGGAAGTGTTCAAGGCCAGGTTGGATGAGGCTTTGGGCAACCTGGTGTAGTGGAGGGTTTCCCTGCCCATGGCAGGGGGTTTGGAACTAGATGGTCTTTGATGTCCCTTCCAACTCAAACCATTCTATGATTCTATGACTAGTTGCAGATTATGCATTCTTCCCCAAGTCTTTGTTAAAGCTTCTGGTGGCTTCAGCGTATCAGAGAGGAAACTGAGACAGGTCAGAACCGCAGAGCAAATAAACACTATGGACTGATGTCAAGGGCATGGTTGTAAGAGCAAAGAGATCATGTGCATTTAAGCATATGGGGTAATTAGTTCGGATTTTTTTATTTTTAAAGTTTAATACAGAAATTAAAGCTTTCTGCAGGTAAACAGAAGTCATTGACAACTGACTATTAAACAAAAAAAACCTCACCACCAAAAAACTATCCCACCTCCAGGATTTCAACTTAGCTTTCTTAAGTACCTGTCCCTTCTGAGCACACGATACTCACATTTTCTGCCCTTAGCGCAATTACCTTACAGTCTTACCCTACAGGTAAGACATAAAGGCCTTTACAAATGACTGACTGTCCTAAATGTCCATGAGTACATGTGACAACAGTTGCATTTCAATTAGGAAAAAAAAGGGTTAATTAAAAGTAAAAATTCCTGCTAAAACAAACTGATGGTTAATTAACTGAAGTAAAATTCCCTGGCTTTTTTTTTTTTTTTTTGGCACACAAAATATATGTACCCTTTTCCTGAATGTTACCTGAAAGTACAAGAATATTTCCAGTGCAGGCAAAGTATTTACATCAGTAGGAAAGGAGCTGGGCAGAATTCCTGGGAGAGGGTAGTACTGAGGGGAGAGAGGTGCAGCAGGGACTTGGCCTCACCCTAGGGCAGCATCCACACCATCACAACTACCTCCAGCCCCAATACGGTACAGTAAAGCACAGACCTTGTCATGTTTACTTTGACAGATGCAATTTTAATTACAGTTGATGCTTGGTTTTTTGTTTGGGGTTTGTTTTTTTTTTAATTCTGATGCTTGATCTGAGGTACATGTTTGTAAAAATTACTCTCTTGGAAACATAAACCATAAGGATAAAGACACACGCAGAGATGGCTCTGCTCCAGAGTGTTTGCAGAGCTGCTGGTTGCACCTTTGTAGGAAAGATATCAAAAGGTCAGCATTGGCAGCTGGAAAGTTTCTCTTGGTTGTTCGTCTCCCAGTACCTTCTGCTTTTTCAGAAACAATGTGTGTCAGATTTCTAGCAGCCACCCTCCCCTACGCGTTAGTGCACTGTACAACATGCCTTTTCTTTTACAGTGTTACCTGGTGACAGACCAATGCATGGTCTAGTTCTGTTCTCAGCAAACCACAACCATGGGAGAGAAAAGTACTCAGCAGCAGCAATAGACTGTCTTACAGTCCTTTCCAAAGAAACTAATTTATACAATTGCGCTGTCCCTCCAGCCCTGAATTTTCACAGCCTTTCAGCGCTTTTCAGCTACTTCTGACAAACGTAAGCAAGGTGCCTTAGCTTAGAGGTGGTTCTTTTGCAGCCATGTTTTGATTTTCTCAAAATTTCTATTCATCCATTGTATATTGTCTTCAATGGTTTCAATAGCTTGCTGGACGCAGCGAAGCTGTGCGCTTTTTTCGTCCAGAGAACTGAAGAATTCTTTCACCTGTTGACAAAAACAGTAAAAAATAGTCGATGAAGAGGCAGCAATGTCTCTTAGTTGCACAGGAAGACCAGCAAGAAATGTGTCATCCTCAGATGCAGCCTTGGGTCTTCTGCCCCTCTTCCTCCCCTCCCGAAACCCAGTTTCCACCCCACCCCACCCCCACCCCCCCAAACACAGTTTTTAAAAAAGGTTTCATAGTGGGTGGCTCTCACAAACCGAGGAAGATTACATTGCAGATTATAAAAAAAAAACAGTTGAAGGAGCTGTCACGTCATGTGGCGGATCTGTCCAGTTCTTGCTCATCCCACAAATCCCTGCGGCCATTTAAGCCGTGGCACCCGCAGGCAGGACGGCAGCGTTTCAGTGCGGATGTCTCTGGGGAGAATGAGCATCCCCTGCTCTGCCCGACAGCTGCTCTGCTTCGTAACACACCTTCACCAGGGGTGCGGTGCCAGCCCGGGCTGCCAGCTGAAGAGGGTGTT